GTGGTTGAATCTGTGGCTAAAGAATCCATGAATACAGAAGACTGAATGTAAGGGCTTCTGCGTCGTCTCAAGAAAGAAAAAAGACTTTAAAATCCTATTGTTTGTTGCAACTACAGGAGATCCATTGAATCAGTATAATTAACCACTCAGTAGTTCATTCAACTGGATTTATTTGCCAGGTTCCTTGCTTCCTATTGGGAGACTTTGTTGGGAGCAGCCGCATGATTTCCTATACTGAAGTGGGAAATGATGCACGCTTCCAGATGTTGTTGGACTCCAGCTCCCATCATCCCCCTCGCCAGTGGTCAGGCATGCTGGGAATTGAAGGCCAACAGCATCAGGAGGGCAGCTGTGTGATTCCCAGTCTTGTAGTAGGGCACTGGCTGTTCCAGATGTTATTGGGCTTCAGTTGCCAGAATGCCTCATCATTGCCTTGCTGGGGCTGATGGGAATTCAAGTCTCCATCTATGCTAGTCTTTAAGGATCATCCCTTAAATTGTCATCAAATCTCCTATTTCCCTTCTTTTTTTTTAACAGGGAGAAGATTGAGAGGGAAAGCCTTCTACAATGTCAACGGAAAAGTCTACTGTGAAGAAGACTTCCTTGTAAGTAAGATTTTAGGGCTTTGCCTCTTTTAATGGGGTGTTTTGTGTGTATGTGTGTGTGTGTGTGTGTGTGTGTTATGATAGCCATGTACGTTTGTCTGGCCGCTGGCGCTGCGTCTACACTGGAGAATTAATGCAGTTTGACACCGCTTTAGCCTCAGTGCTATGGGATCCTTTGATTTGTGAGATATGTTTAGCCTTCGCTGTCAGAGAGCTCTGGTGCCCCACCAAGGATCCCATAATAGCATTGAGCCATGGAAGCTAAAGCTCTATCAAACTGCATTAATTCCGCAGTGTGGCAGCAACCAAGGACTACTGTGCGGTTCTCTGAGCAACATCTGTACAAAAAATGGGCACCAGGTGTGTGCTTGGGAAGATCCAATATTATTATTATTATTATTATTATTATTATTATTATTATTATTATTATTATTATTATTATTATTATATCCCGCCTCTCCCAATGGCACCACCTTGGATCCACCCATCCATCATAAGGTGCTTCCATCTTTTAATTTCCACTGATATGGGATTTATCTCCATAGCCACAAATGCCAAATATATTTAGATTTGCTGGTAATAGTGTCTCTGAGACTTTGGGACACTCTTAAAAAGAAGAAGAAGAAGAAGAAGAATTCTAATTTATTTATTTTATTTATTTTAAATATTCTGATACCACTTTTGGAGCGTTGGGGCTGGGAAGGACTTTGACTCAAGATTTTATGGAGTCCTGCCATTGTTGGTTAGATAAATATAGATGAAGGGCATGGCAACGTAAGGCAGTTCCCTTTGAGTTTCCAGAAGATGTGCAAAATGGTTTCGTTTGCACAAGCGTTTGGTCATTTTTGGGGCAGGTTGCATGAGGCCACGGCATCCATGTTCTGCTCTGGTGCCACAACAAACTACCCTTCCCAGAATTCCATAGCATTGAGCCATGGCAGTTAAAGTCATGTCAAACTGGATTATTTCTGCAGTGCGGAGGCAGCCTAATGTCACATAAAGGCATTTCTTCCTATCTTGGTGGATAAAAGGAAGTATAAGCAAAGCCAGCTCTTATTTCGGTGATTTTA